GATAAAAGGAGCACGTGTGATTCTCCAGGATAAAAGCAACACGTGTGATTCTCCAGGATAAAAGGAGCACGTGTGATTCTCCAGGATAAAAGCAGTACGTGTGATTCTCCAGGATAAAAGCAGCATGGGTGATTCTCCAGGATAAAAGTCGATGGCACAGCAGGAGCCTGAGGTTGGAGAAAAGAGCTCAGAAAGAAGGCCATTGGCAGGACTTCTCTGATTGAAAAATCTGATTTAAGAAGTTGCAACAACAATGTTCCCTCCCAGGTATCTGCTCAAGAATAAGATTACATGCAACAGATTAGGATCAAATTTGGATTCAGTATCAAAAAAATTGGGAGCAAATGAATTGGGCTAGGAACCCAACAAGCTTTTGGGTTTCAAATACACAAGCGCTGAGAGAAACTGGAACAATAAATCACCGGTTTTTCCTCCAAGGCTCCAAATTACAACGTTCAGTTATTGACATGTTCAGCCACAACAAGAAAGCATCACCCCTCTCACCACATATACCCCTAAGCTGGCGTGCTTAGCATCCTCTAGCTGTAAGACGCTGACTGAGCTCTGCAAAACGATAGCAAACATAACACAAGCCCAGACCCGGGGAAAGAGCTGGAAAATTAAAGTTCTCTAGAATGGACGTCAGTCTTTGATAAAAACCAAACTTAGCTCACTGCCATCAAACTGATTTCAACTCAGAGTGACCCTAAGGGCAGAGCAGAACTGGTCCTGTGGGTTTTCGAGGCTGTCAATCTTCAGAGGAACAGAAAGTCCCATCTTTCCCATTGGAGAAGCTGGTGGTTTGAACAGCTGCCTAACATGTAACCCACTACACCACTAGGGGGCTCCTTCCAGTCTTTCTCAGCAAATAAAAATGTTTTTGTTGGCTTGGCAGAATGAACTGCCCTGGACTGAGAACTGGGGTACTCATATGGTTTACACAGAGTGGCCACGCCAAACCTGTGGGAGTGGTGGTCATTGGACCTTGGGGGGAACCCCTGGTTTGTCAGGAGTACAATCAAAAGGGACCCAGAATCACTATATATTTAGTACCTTCATGCTCCCTTTGAAGCACCGTGACAGGTTTTGATGTGTCTGACAGGGATTTGAACTTGGCAGAATCGATCCGGGAAGTTCCCCTTGGTGTACGGTAGACAGAGCTCAATTGCACGGGAAACCGAAGTGTGTGGTGCAACCACTCATGGGCGGCAGCGCACAGTGGAACTGCACTGGCACAGACACACTCCTCACACCCACAGTGCCCAGAGTGATGTGTCATGGGAAACATTGACCATCTTACAAGTACAACCACCGGATGCCCCAGGGGGGTGATCAACAATATTGTACGTTTCGGTTTATATGGGTTTTGTTTTCCTGCCTTTAGATTGCTTGTCAGTTTGTGTGTTTGTCTTTTGTTGTCTGCTAGTTGGTATGTTGCTGTTGGCGGGGAGGGGGCAGTTGGTCTTATTGGAGGTTTAAATTAGCCATAATATGACCACCAGAGTACCTGAGTCGTGCACATCCCAGGGACAAGCAGATGGACTCTGGGTCCCCACTGAACTCTAACCCCAATCCAAGAATAGTTAGTTCTGATAACATGTCCCCGCTTGATACTTACCCTCAGGTAACCATCACTGAAGATAAGGGTGCTACCGCAAAGTGCGGTGGAGAAAGCAGATGGTGCCTGCTGTGTCAGAATTGACTTGCTGGTACCTAACAGCAAAACACAGAGCTAGCAAGTCAGTTCTGAAACAGCAACCCGTGTACAACAGAGTAAACGACTCCTGATCATGATGTCCTTGATGGCATGTCCAAAGTCTCACCATCTTCTCTTCTACGGAGCATTTTGGCTACACGTGTTTCTTTCTTTCTTTCTTTTTAATCGTTTTATTAGGGGCTCATACAACTCTTATCACAATCCATACACACATCAATTGTGTAAA